TATGTTCTCTGTATTTTACCAGGATTAAAAACTAAGAAGAATCTGGGAGTGGCCTCACTGGGGGCTCTGGCTCGGGGCCTGAGGCTGCATCATTTGCAGGCTTGGCTGGGGCAGAAGGAGTCACTCCATACTGTCCTACCCGCGTGGCCGTGGCGGGAGGCCCCTGTGTGCAGCCGTGTGTGCCTCTCCACGTGTGGCCTGCCCTTGTCTGCAGCCTCGGGCTGGGGCAGGTGAGACTTGCCTTAAAACCTGTTTTGCATGGGGCTCCACACTCTTAGCTTGGAGGCTCAGACTCACCATGGCAACAAAGACGGGTCCGCTGTTTTCCTTGAAGCAACAGGGCCCCTCGTTCATTTCGGCGAGAAGGGCTGCCAAGATCCCAGGTCTGAGCACCCACAGCACTGCGGCCGGCGGTTCCCCCGAGGGGCCAGGGCAGCTCACACCGCTTCCTGGGGCGGCCTGGCCGGTCTGGCCTCCGCTCGGGGCCGAGGCTGGATGAAGTGAGATTAGGGATGGTTGTTCACGGGGACTTCTGCCCCCGCCCCCCGGAGCGTGTGGTGGGGAAGGGACCTCAGCCAAGGCCAAGCCACCAAGCTGGATCCTTGCAAAGGAGACCACAGCCCCCCCCCCCCCCGGGCAGCTTTTATACCATAGCCGGGTAAAAAAGGCAAAGACTCACTTTGTATCATCCCCAGGATGGCCATAACAAAACACCATCAAATGTAAGGCTTAAACAGCAGGAAGTCGGGAGGCCGGCATCTGGGATCAAGGTGCTGGCTGGGCTGGTTCTCTCTGCTCATACCCCTGCTGCAGGTAGCAGGCCATCGCTGATGCTTCTTGTCTTGTAGATGACCCATCACACCTCTGCCTCCACCTTCGCGTGATGGGTGCACCTGTCCAGTGTCCTTATTACAAGGACCGGCGTCATGTGGATTAAGGCCCAACCTAATGATCCTTTCTTGGATGAATCTGCGGTATGGGGACACAATTCAACCTCCAACACACTTCTGTGTTGTTAGCAAACTAGCTTAGAGCTCAGGGCCCCCGAAAGAGTCTGGGGCCTCCATGAAATGACGCACCCCACCAGGCCTGCTGCTGGTGTGTGCTGCGGGTGGGCTCCGCTGTTGGCGAGGCCTCAGGCTCCCCGTCAGCCATCCCCATGGACCGCTGGTGAGCTACATCCTCAATTTGGATGAAGCCAAACTCATCAGCTCATTTTGAAGTGTTGCACAGAAAAGTCTTCCTCAGCCTTATCACGAAGATGTTTCCCACATTTTCTTCCAGGAACCTGATAATTTTCCCCTCACGTGAATGGTTTAATGCTTCTGGGATTCTCTCACGCTTGAGGTGGAGGGTCATAGGGTCGTGTCTCTGTTTCTCCGGACACAGAGCCATCTTCTCAGTACGGCCCTCTCCTATGAGTCGTCTCTCGGCCGCTGTCACCCCTGCCAAGCGCCACCTGGCCCAGGAAACAGGTGCCCCTCTTGCCTCCATTCTATCCCTGGCCTCTTGATGCAGGTGTGAGGGATGTCTTACCCCTCATGCTATAGCCCTTCCAGGCACTAACCTCTTGGTAAATCAAATATTTTGAGAAAGTAAAACAGAAAGGACAAAGAAAAGACTCTTCTTAAACCCCACTTGGGGACACTGAGTGGCTAAGTCGGTGAAGCGTCTGCCTTCGGCTCAGGTCATGATTCCAGGTCCTGGGATCGAGTCCCACATCGGGCTCTCTGCTTGGCGGGGGGCCTGCTTCTCCCTCTCCCACTCACCCTGCTTGTGTTCCCTCTCTCTCTCTCTCTCTGTCAAATAAATAAATGAAATCTTTAAAAAAAAAAAAAAATAAGAAGAAGCTGCTTTTGCCTCCTGGCCGCCCCGAGTAGGAGAGGAGGCGAATGGAGCCAGCTGGTCGGGGGAGGGCCACAAAGACATGCCTGTGCCCAAAACAGAGATGGGCCTTGTTTGTGGGGGTGTTTGCTGGCAGCAGAGCTGGGCACAGAGTGGACACTGGGCGGGCAGCTCAGCCCCCCTTGCGCAGTGGGCAGACCCTCTGCAGTCCCCGCTGCCATGGGCAGACCCTCTGCAGTCCCCGCCACCACTGGGGCTGCCACCACCAGACCCTCCCTCTTCCCTGCTTGGGCAGCCTGGTGTGGAAGGTGAGGAGGTGAGTGGTTAGGGGCACAGATCAGGCCAAACTGCACTGGAGCCCAGCTCCTCCCCAGCTCTGGAGCTCTGGGCAGGTGACCTGGCCCCTCCGGGCCTTGTTCTTCATCCAAGTCTACTTTTATGGACACTGAGATCATCAAGATGCCAAAGAGTGTAGAGCTCAGTCATCCCCTAATCTGGTGGCCTTGGACAATGATGCTGTCATGTCCTCACACCTACCCTGAAGGCCATGTGACTTTGGGCCCACCACCCTCGCCTCCCAGGAAGTGGTGGGGAAGCCTCTTCCAGGAGCCCAGAGGCCCAGCAGATGGGTGGGTCCAGAGCATCTTGGAACCAGCAGCTCCTGGGTAACGGGAGCTGCAGGGAGCTAGGGAACCAGGGGCCTGGGTTCTTGGAGATCAGGTCCTCCTCAGGCTGTCCAGGGAGCGCAGTGGGGGCATAGCGGGACAGAGAAGTGGTGGCCTGTGGATGGGATGGAGGAGGGGAGGGAGAGACGGGCAAGGAAACAGGTGTAGGTTCTCGGGCTCCCAAGGGATAAGCGACCCAGCCAGAATGTAGTGTCCCCAAAGCCCAGCCAGCACCGCCATCCTGGTGAAGGCAGAGCCCTGCCAGGTGGGGTCATGACCAGGAGCAGTCCCTCTGAGCTTGTTCTAGTGTGGGCACCACTGGGCCGTCAGAGGCCCCCTTCAGAGCAGGTGGAGCTGGGGGTGCCCATTCCTGCTGCAAAGGAGGGGCTCAGTCAAATAGGGCTGGTGGGGGGTGGTCCAGTCAGGGGCCCATCCCTCCTGGTGGTTCTGGACGAGGGGGATCTGCGAGTTTCTGGAGGGACAGCCAGCACCCCATCCCTCCCCTTTTTCTTCTGGGTCTTATTTCCCTGTCTGCGAGGTCCTTCCTGGGTCTGGGAGGACCAACCTTCCTCTTCTGGCCTGGGGCTTGGGGAGGACCTTCCTTTCTTGGAGAGAGGAAGCCACGGTGCTCAAGGCCCAGAGGTGGCCCAGCTCCCCCCGACCGGGTCCTGGTGGACAGACTCAGTTCCAGCTGAGAGTCAGGGCTCCTGAGGCCTGGGGGCTGGGCCTGGCTCTGTGGCAGACCAGCTGACAGACGGCCCTAGATCTCTACCCCCCAATCCCACAAGGTACAACCTCTGCATTGCACTCCCTGCGGTTGCCCCTGCCCACCACACAGAGACCCCAGGAATGAGCCCTCCAGACACCCTCACCCAGGCCTGGGCCCCCAGCTGCTTTGGGGAAACGCAGATCAAGATGCCCCCATCTGGCCAGATACTAGGGTGCCCCCTGGACTGCCCACACCACAGCGTGCAGAGCTGCCAGCAGAGGGTGCCAGAGGCCTCCTCCAAGGGTGGGGCCCTGGAGGAGCTCAGGTGGGCACTGGCCTGGTGGTCTGGTGTCCTCGAGGTGCAGAGTGCAGCCCACTGTGTGCTCAAGGACCCCTCCACTCCTGCACTGACACCTCAGAGCTGACCACCAACCTGGTCCCGTAGATTTCAAGGCCCTTCTCCAGGGCACCTCCCTCAGCCTGGGGCTAAGCTTCGGCCCTGCCGCCGCCAAGACTCATGCCCCTCCCTGGCCCGCCCTGAGGTCCAGCAGACCTGGCTCCCGGGACTTCCACCCATCTTGGGTTACAGTCTTTGGGCCTTCTGGACATCTGGCCTGGGAGAGCCACAGCACGCAGAGTGAGCAGGGCCCCCTCAGCTCCTCACCTCCCAGGAATATCCTCTGGGCCCACTCGGATACACGTGGAAGTGAGGGGCTCCTGGGAATCCCCACTGGAGTCAGGGGTACATGGCCTCACTTGAAATGTCCACGGCCTGGCCTCTGCCCAGTGGTTCTTACAAAGGGTGCAATTGTAGGTGGGCTCCGGGCCCACAGTGACCCCATCCCCATCTCCAGGAGACAGACACATGGCTGCTAGGATACTTAATTGGTTTAATGACATGGCTTTTGAACCTTGGCCACTTCTCATCTCTGGGTGTAACCTGCAGAGTTCAGTGGTCCAAGACTCACCCACCACCCACACAGCACACAGGGCAAGCCTGGCCTTAGACTTGGTTGGAGAAAGTTCCTATCTTGAGCTCTGCCTTGGGTGTGTGGGGGGGTGTCCAAGGCCATACTTGAATGAGTACATGTCCAGTCCATCTATGCTCCTTGAACGGGTGGAGGGAATATAGCATGCGCCCCACCCCAGGGGAGCCTGAAGCCCCCCCCAGGCCACCCTTGAGGAGCAGTGTGCTGGGTGGGCACTATGGGCGATATCTGGGGGCAAAGCCTAGCTCAGAGCCCAGGGTGCTGAGGTCAGTGCCCTTCTGGCCCACAGCCCATCCGGAGGTGTGGAGGTGCAGGTGCGTGAAGTAGCAGCCACGGGAGTGAGGTTTGGGGCCAGGGTTACAAGTGCCAGGAGGAACCCCCATGTGGACAGGAGGCCAAAGGATAAGTCCCTGCCTACCTCCTGGCGGTTCTGTGGCCTCAGGGAGAGGTGTCATGAAAGCCAGGAAGGGGGCTGGGCGGGACTGGAAAAGCTGCAGCCCTGGCTTCAGGGGCAGGTGCATGAGGGGATGGCATCTCCAGGTGGCTAGTTTTGGGGAGGTGGGCCTTGGGGCAGGCAGATGAGTGTGGGCTGAGGCACCGCTGAGCCTGAGGACAGGCCATGTGCCATGAGGCAGGTGAGCTGCTCCCAGCCAGCACCACCCACCACCCGTGTCCATGGTCCAAAACATACACACATACAAAAATAATACTCCATGCACTGGGGGTGGGACTCTCCGCAGGTGCGTCTCCGTGTCCCCCAGCCGCAGGTGAGCTGGGCCCAGCTGGCCAGGTCTAGCTGTCGTCCTCCACCCTCCTCTGGGTCTTGGACTGAAACTTGCTTATGAGCTCCTCCAGCTCCGACCCACCTTGCTGCTCCTAGGGAGGGGGCGGGGCAGCCTCAGCTCAGGGGCCCACAGGCCGGGGTCCCGCGGCCTCCCGCTTTCCAGGCAATCCAGGAGCCCTGAGGGAGGAGACGGCGGGGAGGCGCAGGAGGGTGGCACGGCCGGCTCACCTCCAGGACCGCCTTCTGCACAGTGAGCTGGCTGTACACGCGGATACCTTCCTCCCCGCAGACTTTCTTCAGCTCGTCCTTGTTGAGCGAGAAGAGCTGGGGCCCGGTCAGAATGCCCAGGTTCTCCACGATCCTGCGGGCGGGGCGGGGCGGGGCGGGGCGGGGCGGGTGTGAGCGCTGGGTACCCGCCCCGCCCCGCCCCGCCCCCGCCCGCCCCCCACGCGCGCGCGCACCGGGCGCTGAAGGCCTTGGCTTCCAGCCAGGCGCGGACCTCCTCGGGGCCCGACTCGTATGTGAGCGGCAGGCCCACCGGCTGGCTGCGCTCCACGCGGAAGTGCCGCTGCGGCTGCGCCTTGATGTGGCTGATCTTCTTGATGAGCTCGTCGTTGACCTCATCCATGTGGTGGATCAGCTCTGCGGGCGGTGCCCGGCACTCAGGCCCACAGCGAGCTGACCCGGCGCCCCCCACCCCACCCCCCCGCTCGAGGACCCTCCGCCCGCTGCTTCCCCCAGGGGGCTCAGGGCCCCGTACCCGCATCCATCTGGTGGCCCTCATGCCCTGGCAGAGCGCCTCTCACCGTCTTTGTTCCCTGCGAAGCTTGGGGGCAGCTTGTGGGTGGGGCTGGCAGGACCCCAATATTTCAGACTGGCCTGCAGGGGTGGGGGCAAGAGACGAAGGAGTGGGGGAGCCCTCAGCGTCAGCTCATCATTCCTCCCATCAGGGTTGTAGTAAGGAGAAAGTGAGGCATCCCTTCTCGCCGCCCCCCTCCCAGGGCCCGGCCTGTGGCCCCACCCCCCGCCGGGCACGGAGGAATCCGGGGCTCAGCGCCGGGTCTGCACCCGCCCATCCCCCCTCTGAGGTGGGACTGCAGAGCCCCCGCTCCTCGCACTCACCTGCTCCTGGGGTGCGTCCTCCAGCCGAGTCTCATCCAGGATGTTGCAGGGCACGTAGCCTGCCTGGCCGCTGCGATTGCGAAGCTTCCACCACTGGTGGCCATCTTCGAGCACCTGCAGGCACCCACCCCCACCATCACCCCCATCTGGTCACCAGCGCAGGGTGTATGAGCCCCTCTTTACAGGTGGGCCAGAGAGAGTTCTAGGCATTTCCTCCAAAGCCCCGCCTCCCCCCAATCCTGTGGGGAAGTCACAAGTCCTCCTAGGAGCCCCTGCCCTGCCCAGCCTTCTGTCCCACCCATAGAGGCTACCATCCCTCCCTTATCTCCCCCTAAGCCTCTCCAGCAGCATCCAGAGCAAGGGTGCCTCTAGCCTTTGCATATAGATCACCGCCCACCCCCCCCCAGCCTGCTCCACTTTCCATCCCCCAGTGGGTGGCCTGAATTCAGGACTGGCACCAAACAGACCGAGTCTCAAGGGGGCTCCAGGGTTGGGTGTGAATGATGAGCCCTGGCTGAGAGCTGGAGGGTCCGCACTTGGCACAGAGAAGGCCTGTCCTTCAACGTGAGCCCAGCTTAGCCCAGCATAGGAGCCCCTGAGCCCCCTCTTAGATCCCAAGACAGGGAGGCCCCTCATCCAGGCTGTGCCGGGGATGGGGAAAGGGCAGGCTGTGCACCCAGACTGGAGCCCAGGGGTAGGGGTCCTGGGGAAAGGGATTGGACAGGCGTGCCGTGTGCCAGCATCGGGCAGCCTGGCTCCTGCCTCTCCTGGGCAGCCCCGCACCCACAGCCCAGGCCCCGGCTCACCTCCAGGACCTCGTCCTTGAGCACCGACAGCTCGTTGGCATTGCGGGCTGTGAAGTCATAGAGGATCCTGACGTACTTGGCCATGGCTGGCCCAGGTTCGTAGCCCCTGCGTGGAACAGAAGGCTGAGGCCCAAGGCTGGGCTGGGGTCTCCTCTGGGCCCTGGGGCTGGGCTGGGGGAGCAGCTTCCCAGGTGCGTGCCGCCTCCTGTTCAGCTCTCTGAGGTCACAGCGGAGAGAAGCTGAGGCTCGTCAGCCGGGAATGGAAACTGTGACAGCCCCAGAGCGTCTGGGGCCCCTGCACGGAGGTGGGGGCCACGCGGGGGGGGGGGGGGGGGGGGGGGGGGGGGAGGGGGCCTGTGGGCACGGCAAGGCCCGCCTGAGGCCAGGCCATCTCAGGGGGCACCAGGCCCGGCCCCCCAGGGGACCCACAGCCAGACATGTACCCAAGAAATGACAGGGTCACCACTATCCTTGCAAGCAGCTGACCGATGAGGGAGGGCCAAGTGTTTTCAGAGCCACAGCCCTGCCCACAAGCACCCACAGCGGAGGATGGCCCAGGAGCTGCAGGGGCACGGCGTGGGTGTCCTGGCCTCGGCACAAAGCAGGCCTGTGGCTGCCACCCAGGCTGGGCAGTCACCTCCTGGCCAGTCTGGCCCCTGATCATCAGGGCAGCTCCCTCACACAGCTGCAGCCCTTGGGACACCATACAGGTGAGGGGGCTGAGGCTGAGGTGGCCCTGAAGCCAGGACGGCCAGGATGGACTGGCCAGGGGCTGGAGGTCAAAGGATGAAAATGTCTTTTCCAGTGTGGCCCTAAGCCAGGAGCCATGGACATCAGCCTGGCCATGGCGGGGGCGGGGGGTGCAGCAAGAGGGGCACACTTGTGTAAGACACAGATTTCAGCCCCCTCCCCTGCTGAAACTGAATCCTGGGATCTGGCAGGGTAACCAGCTTCCCAGACAATCCTGGGCCAGGAGTGAGAACAGAAAAGAGGAGAGGGGAAGGATGGGGAGTCCCCCAGGCCCCGGGTCTGTGGAAGTATGTATGTGGGGGCGGGGAGAATGGCTGTCCTTAGCCCAGACCTTTAGTATCCTTCTCTGGCTCTGAGGCTGGACCTAAATCAGCCCCAATGGGGTGAGTGACAGGGATTGTTGAACCCACTTAGGTTTAGTGACTTAGTAAACTTTTAACCATGATTCTAAAACATACATGAGAAGACACAAAGAGAGATAACGTATTAGGGTAATGAATTTACAGGTGGGTTTTGACATTTTTCTCTTCAATTTTATATTATAAAGTTAGAATGAAAACCTGGTTCTGGTTTGGAAAAATGCTTTTTTTTGAACGCCATGAACAAGGCATTTGCCGCCACCTGGTGGCAGCACACTCATATCAGAGCCTCCTTGTTTCTAGGGGTGAGCGTCACATTCCCTCATTTGAAGAGGAACTTACCTGTGAGCATGCGGGGAGCTGACTTGGGGGAGAGGGGCCCCTGGAGGTGGAGCTGTGGGCTCAGATACAAGGCTGTGTTTGGGGGAGTTTCGAAAGGATGGCCGGTTTGCTGGAGTCGGCTGTGCGGAAAAAGGACCCCCTAAGTTGGTGTGGGGTGAAGGCAGTGGACAAAGGTGGGCTGAGGAGGTGAGCAGTGGTGGAGGAGGCAGATGGCCAGTGGGTTTGGGGTGGGGCCATGGGTGCTCTGACCTCATCGTCGGGGGCAGACACCAGCCCCTCCACTTCCCAGGGTGCCTCCTGCAGCACGTCCAGGGGTGGCTCCCAGCCACTGTGGAACTTGGGCACGTAGAGGGGCACCTGTGGCTCCCGCGGCCACTCCGAACTGGAGGTGGGAGGTCCTGGAGGTGAGCCATGCCCACCCATGGGAACCAGCCCCACCTGGGACACCCCCCTGGCCTGCCAGGGAACCCCATCCTGGTTTGCACCCCATGCCCTGCATCACCCAGCCCAGGGCCCCTTCCCACACCCTCCCTGCCCACTGCCCGCTGCCGCACCGGGGGTGTATCCATGTCTCCCCCAGCGACTCCCACAGCGTCATCTCCTTGGGGACTAGGTGGCCTCGCAGGAAGCCCACGGCCTCACGGGAAAGCAGGGGGCTGGACACGGAGCGTGCGATGTCTGGGCCCCCACAGGTGCTGACAATCTGGGGCAAAGCAGGGTTCAGAGGAGGCCCTGCCCTCCGGACCCCAGTCCCAGTTGGCTTGCTGACAGCACCACAGGCCAGCCACGCCCACCGCCCGGACGCATGGGGGGCAAACCACCCTGGGGTTCTGCGCCCCTAGCCCCAGCCCCAGGCACCAGGTCCAGAGGTCCAAAGAGGAAGTGCACGAGTTCTGCAGCGCTGGGGTTCTGAATGTGCTTCTGCAGCTTGGCCTGGGGTGGGGGGGGGCAGACAGAGGGGTGGGCTGATGGTGCTGGGGACAAGGGGGGGCAAAGACCCTGGATCCCACAATGTAGGCACAGAGGGACAAGGTGGGGGGCAGACAGACGGGGTGGGGGGATGGTGCTGGGGACGGGGGGGCAAAGATCCCCGACTCCCCCCAGTTGTCAGCACAGAGGGACAGGGTAGGGAGGGTGGATTGGAGGGGGCCTAGTACTCACCAGCAGGTTGATAGCCAGCTTGATTTTCTGAAAACAGTCGATGAACTGGGCCTCAGAGGGGGGCCGTGCCCGCAGCGTAAGGACACCCTCTGGAACGGGCAGGGCGGTGGCTGTGAGCCTGGCCGGCCGTCGCTCGCCTTCAGCAGCCCACCTGCTCAGACTGGATCTCCTGCAGCTCAGGGGCCACCTGCCTCTTGCACGTTGTTCTCTCCACCTTCTCTTGTCCCCCTGCCACGCCCCTGCTGCCCCCGCCCCCCGGACCGCCGCCCCCTGCTGTCCCCCGCCCCCCGGACCGCCGCCCCCTGCTGCCCCCGCCCCCCGGGCCGCCGCCCCCTGCTGCCCCCGCCCCCCGGACCGCCGCCCCCTGCTGCCCGCGCCCCCCGGACCGCCGCCCCCTGCTGCCCCCGCCCCCCGGACCGCCGCCCCCTGCTGCCCCCGCCCCCCGGACCACCGCCCCCTGCTGCCCCCGCCCCCCGGGCCGCCGCCCCCTGCTGTCCCCGCCCCACGGACCGCCGCCCCCTCCGCACCTGCTGGCCCCTTCTTCCCTTTCTTCTTCCCCTTCTTGCGCTGGTTCAGCTGTTTGAAAGCTTCTGCCGCCTTCTGCAGCCGAGCCACGAACCACTCAATGTCGTCCAGGGCACAGTTGAGGATTTGCTGGGGTCAGAGCAGAGGCGGGGGTTCAGTCTCAGGCGCCCCCCCCCCGCCGCGGCAGGGACAGCCCCACACACTGCCTCTTGGTCCCCGGCCTGGAGGGAGGAGGTGGGTGCTGGCTGGGGGCCGGCTGGAGGGGGCCACACCCGACGGGGACGCCCCACCTGCCCCAAGACGCACCGTTTCCTTTTCTATCTTCTGAGCTAGCACAGCGCGTGGCTCCTCATCCTGAGACTCCCGACGGCGGAAGCCTGGATGGGGGAGGCAGACATCGGGTGTTACTGACGGAGGCCACCCCCACGGACTTCGCGTGCAGCCCCAGCCCGGCTCCCTCAGCGTACTTGGCTCAGTGAGTGGCATCGGCGGGCCCACTCGGTTCTTGGCGGACGGGGAGCCACTGCCATAGTGCTGGAAGGGGATGGGGGCCGGGCCCTTGGGGGCGGGCAGGACGGACTGCCGCTGCCGGATCTTCTCCTGGTGGCCCCTGGAATGGGGGCGAAGGCGCGCTCAGCCTGGCCCCCAGGCCCACCCCCGGCCCTCCCGCGCCCTGCACCCCCGCCTACTTCAGGGTCTGTGGCCGCAGCTTCTTCCCTAGACGGCAGTCGGCCAGCGCGCTCTCGACGTCCTCGTGCACCAGCTCCGCCTGGGGGCACTGGGTATCAGGCAGGCGCAGGCGCACCGGGGCCCTCCCGGCCACTGCCCCTCCTCACCTCCACCTCGTCGCAGTGGAAGAAGTGGATGTCGGGTTTGCTCTGCTCCGAGTCCTGGCACACGAGCAGCAGTACCGAGGGGTACCGCAGCTGGTTCAGCACGGTCTGGGTGTGCCGCACGGTGGGTAGCGGGAAGTTCTCCAGTTCCTCCTAGGGGACCGGGGACTCAGATGCGGCTGGGCCGCGTCACACGGCTGGGACTCCCAGATGTGACACCAACACGGGCTCACAGCCAGAGGTGCAGGGTGGACTTGAGCCACGGACACAGTGCCCTGGGCGTGCCTTGTGAGCCCAGCTTGTGGGGTGTGTGCCTGGACACAGTCACAGACAATTGGTGGGCACAGCAGAGCTCGTGGCACAGACGCAGACCCAGACTCTGCCAGGCCGTGGCCGCAGCTGTGGCACACGGACCCCTGGGCACAGCCAGGCCCTGCCTTGGGACAGCCGGTGGACAGGCTGGAGCCAGAGGTGGGCGAGGTTCTGTGTGTGACTGGGTTCCCCTGGATTCTCAGCCCCATCAGCCCTCCCTGCCCCGCCTGCCCTTTGCCCCCCTCATCCTGTCCCACCCCCACAGAGAGGCCCAGCTGCGTGTCTGGGTCACGTCCTTTGGCTGCCCTGTCGCTGCCACACCTGGGACTCCACATCCAGCAGCCGCAGAGACTGGTCATTGACCTGCAGCAGCATTTCCTGCGTCCACACCTTCTCCTTGGAGCTCAACTGCACCAGTTTCCGGATGGCATCATCCACGGACACAATGGCCTCACTCTTGTCCATGATGAACGTGGCCAGGTGCTGGGGGCGGGCAGGTGGTCACTCTGGGGAGAGCCCTCCTTGTGCCCATCGAGGGTCAAGGGGCTGCACCCCAGGGGCCTGAGGGGCCAGGGCCAACCTTGGGAACCTGGGGGGTGGAGAACATCCCCGACCCTGGGGGTCTGAAGAGACACAGCCCTACCTTAGGGGAAGGTCTCTGCTCTGCCTTGAGGAATGTCTGGGGGGCCGTGGACATGCCCTGATGAAACCTTTGGCAGCCCCACACAAACAATCCCTCACCCCACCTCATCTCCTGTGGCTGGACTCCAGGAACACCAGCCTCCCTGTTCCCCCCACAGACCTGGCATAGGCTCACCACAGGGCCTTTGCATGGTCTATCCCCAGTTTGCCTCCCTTACTCTTCTCCAGCTCTCTCTTCCTTCAGGACTCCGCTCAGACCTGCTCCCCCTGCCAGGCTACAGCATTACTCTCAACCCCCTGATCTGCCTTGTTTTTAATTATCACAATCTGACATTATGTTTCTTTGTTTATTTTCTGGCTCCTGGGTTCACTGCTATTTCCCTAGTGCCTGGGACAGTGCCTGGCACACAGTAGGCCCTCAGTGAATGTGCTGGGATGAGTGAGCACCTGGAGTGGCCATGTGGGGTGCTTTGTGGGGTGGCCCGGGGACCCTTGGCCAGCCCAGCCCTCCCCTTCCTCTGTCCTCAAGCCTGGTTCAGGCTCCTCCTCCCTCCAGGCTCCACAGTGTGTCCCCTTGACCTTCACTGAAGTCAGTGAACAAAGCTGAGACCAACTGGATAAACACTGTCTTAAACTCTAGGCAGTCAAGACCCAGCTGCGAAAGTGCTAGGAGAAAATGCTGGACCATTTCTGATGACCTCAGAACGGCTCCCTAACAGGGGGACCTTCCTCAGCAAGGAAGAAAACCCAGACGCACAGAAGAAAAGACCAAAAACTCTGACCTAATGAAAAAGTAAACATGTCTGCCTGGAAAAAAAAAAATACCGTATACGAAGTAAAAAGAAAAAAAAAAAAGGTGGGACAAACAGATGTAATAGATATGGTGAAGGCTAATTTTCTTTCCTTTTGTTTTCTTTTGAAAAGATTTTATTTATTTATTTGACAGAGAGAGACACAGCGAGAGAGGGAACCCAAGCAGGGGGAGTGGGAGAGGGAGAAGCAGGCTTCCCGCTGACCAGGGAGCCCGATGTGGGGCTCGATCCCAGGACCCCGGGACCATGACCTGAGCCGAAGGCAGGTGCCCAACAGCTGAGCCACCCAGGCGCCCCTGAGTTTCTTAATATGTAAAAGACCAGCATGTACTTCAGTGATAGCTCTTACTTTGTTAAAAGCTCTATTTTGTTAAGTATAGTTATTACCAATGATAAATGAATAAATAAATGAAAAAAATCTGTGAATAAGTAAAAAAATTAACAATCCAGGGCGCCTGGGTGGCTCAGTTGGTTGGGTGACTGCTTTTGGCTCAGGTCATGATCCTGGAGTCCTGGGATCGGGTCCCGCATCGGGCTCCCTGCTCGGCAGGGAGTCTGCTTCTCCCTGTGACCCAACCCCCTCTCATGCTCTCTCTCTCTCTCATTCTCTCAAATAAATAAATAAAATTAAAAAAAAATTAACAATCCAATAGAAAAACTGGCAAAAGAGCTGAACAGAGGGTCTCTGGGAAAATAAATGTAACTCACTTTAAAATAGAAAGTTGCATGTAGTCTCATTCCACAAAAGCATTGCAAAGTGAAACTCTGACACCCCTACTTCTGAAGTGAGTCAACCACAGGCTTTTTTACCTGTTTTACTGACCACTCCAATGAGTCCTTGTGGGTCACACTCACAGGTTAGCTGTGGAGAAGTGGGAGCCCCCAGTCCGCACGCCCCAGGTAGTCTCTCCTCCCAATTCAGGTAACCCCACCACGTGCGAGACTGAGTGTGGTTGTGAGGGGTGGTCCCAGCCTACGTGTGCATCAGCAGGTCAGAGAGAGAAGGGGGCAGAAGCACGCAGGGGACAAAAGGCAGCCGACCCACCTGTGCGAGGCAGGGCGAGCCCCAAAGCACACATTGTCAGCAAAACACACCACCAAGCCAAGCAAAACCATGTGCCTGACTGCGGAACAAGTCTCCGTGCATTTCAGGTGACTGAAGCCCTGCAAAGTGTGCTCTCTGACCATAATGGAATTAAACTAGAAACCAGTAAGAGAAAAGATAACTAGAAAACCCTCAAATAATTGGAAATTGAGCAAGGCACTTCTACATCAACAACCAACGGTGAAAGCTACCAGGAGGGAAATGAGAAAAGACGGAGACAAATGAAAACAAAAACACAGCCCGGCAGGACCTCGGGACGCCACACGAGGGGTGGCGGGGAGTGTCTGTAGCTGTGAGTGCTCACGGGAGCAAAGAAGAAGCCATGGGGAATCAGAAAGTGTTCCAAACTGAACGGCAACCAAGGGGTGTGCGTGGGGCGCCTGGGCAGCTCAAGCGTCTGCCTTCGGATGAGGTCATGATCCCAGGGTCCCCAGGTAGAGTCCCGCCAGGAAGCCTGCTTCTCTCTGTCCCTCTGCTCCTCTGCTCCTCCCCCTGCTTGTGCCTTCGCTCATATAAGTAAATAAAATCTTAAAAAAATAAAAGTAAAAACTAAAGGCGTGCACATCAAACTTGTAGGATTTGGCGAAAGGCGTTTGTTGGGGGTGGTGTACAGCTATAAATGAATAAATTAGAAAAGAAGAAATATTTCATATCGGTGATCTACAGGTCTCCCGTAAGAAACTAGAAAAAGACAATCAAATAAAACCCAAAGTAAGTGAAAAGAAGGAAGTTAAGAGCAGAAACCAGCAAAGTAGTAACCAAACAATAGAGAAAAATCAACTAAGCCCAAAGTCGGTTCTGAAAAGATTAATGAACTTGATAAACCCCAGCAAGACTGATCAAGGAAAAAAAGAGAGAAAACACAAATGATCAATAACTAGAAAAAAGGAAGGGCCATCACTACAGATCTTACATGCATAAAAGTGAATTCATAGTCAAAAACCTCCCACAAAGAAAACCCTACATTCAGAGGGCTTTCCAGGTGTATCCTAACAAATACTTAAGGAAGAAATAAAAACAATCTTTCACAGATTCTTTCTGAAAACTAAGGAGTAGGAATACTTTCCCACTCATTTAATAAGGCCACCACAATTCTGACACCAAAATCTGTCAAGGCTTTACAGGAAAATAAAATTATAGACCAATATCGCTAATGAACATTAATGCAAAATGTTAGCAAATTAGTCCATCAACACATAAAAAGAATAGTAATACAGGGCGCCTGGGTGGCTCAGTTGGTTAAGCGACTGCCTTCGGCTCAGGTCATGATCCTGGAGTCCCGGGATCGAGTCCCGCATCGGGCTCCCTGCTCAGCAGGGAGTCTGCTTCTCCCTCTGACCCTCTTCCCTCTCGTGCTCTCTATCTCTCATTCTCTCTCTCTCTCTCTCTCAAAAAAAAGAATAGTACACTTATTGAATAATAATTCAATAATGAATGAATGAGCTTTATCCCAGAAACGCAAGGGTGGTTCAACATTCAGAAAAATCAATCAGTGTGACTGACTTATGTTAACCGTCATGAATACATCTCTGTAAATTCAGAGAAAGCATTTGACAAAATTTAACGCCTTTCATGATACAAAACTCTCAGCAAAGAATGGAAAGGCGCTTCTTCACTAATAAACTACAAAAATATATAGCCTATACAATGGGGAAATACTGGATATTTCTTCTTAAAATTGGACACAGGCAAGGATGTCCACTCTTTGTTGCTTTTATTCAGCATTGTACTGGTGGTCCTAGCCAGGGCAATGAAGTTCTAAAAATAAGATACAAAGTTCTGTATTTCAGACAGCCTGATTGTATAGTAGTAAATTCAGTGGATCTACAAGCAAATCACTAACACAAATAAGTGAGTTCAGCAGGGTCTCAGGGCGCTCAATCACTGCACAGAAATTCAATTGTTCCTCCATACACTAGCAACAATTCAAAAATGGCTTTTAAAAAAACAGTACCGTTTACAACAGCGTCTGCAAGTCAAACACTAAGGAATGTTTGGAGAAAAGATACTGGGGCGCCTGGGTGCCTCAGTCGTTAAGCGTCTGCCTTCGGCTCAGGTCATGATCCCAGGGTCCTGGGATCGAGCCCCGCATCGGGCTCCCTGCTCAGCGGAGGAGTGTGCTTCTCCCTCTCCCACTCCCCCTGCTTGTGTTCCTGCTCTCACTGTCTCTCTCTGTCAAATAAATAAATAAAATCTTTAAAAAAAAAAAGAAAAAAGATACTCAATGCCCCTACAGTGGAAACACAAATATTCTGAGCGAAGTCGTGGGGAAAGAGCGCGTCTACGGGTGGGAAGCGCTCAGGATCATTAAGATCACGCCGAGTGGATCCATAGGTTTGACTCAGTGCCAGTCAAAATTCTAGCAGGCTTTTCTGGGGGGCTGGAATGTAAACACAAGTCCAAAGAGCTTGGAATAGTCAAGAAAATCTTGAGAAAGAATGTAAGGTTGCAGGACTCACACCGCCTGATTTCAAGTTCAATAATAAACAAAGCACGGACAGACCCATCCCATTCAACTCCTCAGTTTTTGACAAGGGCACCAAAGCAATTTGATAGAAGGAACGTCTTCCTCATATAACTGCACATTGCTACGGGGAAAAATTAGCCTCGAGTCTCATACACAAAAATTAATTTCAAGTGGATCATAGACCTAAATGTAAAAGCCTTGACTCTGGAGTTTCTAGAAGACACAGGAAGGAATCTTCAGAGCCTTGGGTCAGGCAATGACCACTCCCTCCCCCCACAAAAAAAAACAAAACAAAACACCCCAACAAAACAACCCTAATCTTAGGGGGAGAGTGGATATGGCTGGACATCATCAAAATTAAGTACTTCTGTTCATCTAAAGACGGTTATGGATATAAATCAGCATGCCAGACTGGGAGAAGAGCTCTCTAATCTACACACCTGACAACGTGTGCAAAGGACTCCCACCCATCAATAAGGTGCAATTGTACAAACAAGTGTCCACAGCAGGGCCACATGCAGGGTCCCCAGGGGCCGGCACAGCCGGTAGAGATGTCCCCTGCAGACCAGAGCTGTAGAGAAGTCTTATCCTACACATGCGTTTTCTTGAAATAAGTTTAGCAGCAGAACAAAGCGTTTTAAACTATATGAATTCAATTATGCGGAAGCAGGGGGAGACAGGGTTCTCCAAAGGTCAAACTTGAGAGCTGCAGGACAGAGCAGTGTTGCTGAACGGTGCATGGGGAAGACCCTGACCGCTAGGGTCAGCAGGAGTGAGTTTTGGGGTAAAGCAACTGTTGTGTCCAGACCTTGCCTGTGACACCACCAACCTGAAACACAACTGCATGCCCTCCACCTCCGGCACACTAACTTAGAAGACAGGAAAGCAAGCAAACCCACAGGTCTTAGCAGCCCCCCACTGCCCGGGGTGGGTCTGATCTTGCCCCCACCTCTTAGCCTCTCTCTCTGCCTTGGTTTCCTCACCTGGGAGGGGCAGGCAAAGCCCATCCTCTCCCCCAGCCCTGCCGGGTGCTGGGCAAGCAGGAGAGGTGCCCCTGGGTTGGGGTCTTTCCACAGGCTAGCTCCGACCAAAGTCCAGAAGGGCAACGTTGCCCTAACCCCCCGAGAGGGGTGGCCCAGCTGCCTGGGAAGGAAGGGGGTGAAGCTGACCTTTTCCCACCCTGTGCCCTGCCCTTGGACCCTGAGTCAGCAGCCTGGCGGGGAGGGCTGCTCACTCAACAGCCCAATTCAAGAGCCTAGGGACTCCCAGTGTCTCTGTGGACCCATTGTATGGATCAGGAAACTGCAGCTCAGAAAGCAGTGACTCGCCTGGCCTCTTGGGTTTGGGGGGTTCTGTGGGGAGGGAAGAAGTCCTCATCTTCCTGATCCAGGCCTCCCTTCCTGGTCCAGGGCCCCCTTCCTGGTCCAGGGCCCCCTTCCTGATCCAGGCCCTCCTTCCTGATCCAGGCCCCCCTTCCTGATCCAGGCCCCCCTTCCTG